ATTTAAGTTTCTCCGATGAAATTTGAAATATGAACCATCTCGATTACTTGCCTCGTTACGTATACTACTACTTCCACTTAATCTGTCCAAGTAGTTTAGTGTATGGTCTGACCGTGCGCGGTGTGATTCTACTTCAGGAGTTCGACGACCCCGCCGAGTCGAAGTTCGTCAATTTAATCGTCGTTGTTGAACAAGACCGTCAAGAACCGAGGACCAAGAAAGATCCAGCTTGTTCTTGTACCTAGGTGGAAGCCGGTGGGTTGTGTGCGGACACGATGTAGGGTGTACACTTTACGAATGGCCCGCCGACACGTCTGTTTGTTCATCGGTTCTCCAGCTTCTCGTCGCAAGTTGGTCGCTTTAATTGAGTCACTTGTGTATCGCGTAAGGCGTTTTACGTACGCAGGCAAACGGGTAGTCTGGAAAGTTTCTGTCGCAGTAAGTCTTCGGCCCGAGGCGTTTCTTGCTGCGAGACGTCGCAGTTCAAAGGGACTCTCTCTCTTTCTGAATCCGGAAAGGGCTTCAGGTGTGACGTTTTTTTTTTCTTTTTGCCACGTCCTTCGACTACCGGCAAACTTTCTTCTTCTTCTTAGACGGTCCTGACTCGTTTCTCAGACGACGGTCTATACTTTACGACTGTGACGTCGATGGACTCGAACGAGTGCTTCAGAATACGATGATGACAGACATCGAGGAAATGATCGTTGATTAGAAGGTTCGTTGATGAAGCGCAGAGAGGACGAAATACTAGAACCGTTCAGCGTTTTTATGGCACACCTGGACGTTTGTCGCAAAGGGGAGAGACAAGGAACTTGGAAGGAAAAGAGATAATGAAATAATAGATAAGGACAGTGGGTAATGGGGACATTAACTGGATTAATCCTTTGGGTACGGATTTTCTTCGACGGCGAAGGGGGTTGAAGAAAAGGGGTGGAAATGCTCAAGGGTAGAAATCTTTCCAAGACGCGATGTTACAATATTTTCTGCTCGAGAGGCGACATAAGCACACACGACACCGATGAAAGTGAACGTACGAGTGGTTGAGGATCGATCTCGAGACCGTCGCTACCATTATTAATATTCCACGTTATTAACGAGACGTCGCTGCTTTTTACCCTAAACACTTGGCAGCCACTCGAAGCGTTTGTCGGCTAGCTGCGAGACGATTATCGATGAAAGTGTTCGAGCCACGTTGATCGGTTACGCGGTTTACGCTTCACGCTCAAGCAGCCTGCTTCCACGCGGCGCGGCAAGTAACGATTTCAACGCTTTAATTGTGCCAGTCCGCTTGGCAACTTCCTCAGGCAGAAAGAATTTTTTCTTTTTTTTTTTTTCTATTTTCCGCTTCGAATTTTTCCGCGCAGAAGGCGCGAAAATTGCTACAAAGGGCTCTCGACGTTGTTCCTTTCTTCGTTCCTTTTTTCCCTTCCTCTTCCACCTCGTCACTCTACCTTTTTTTCCTCCTGCTTGTCGTTTCCCTTTCTTTCGACCAGCAACAATCGAAAGTCGTTCCATTTCTCGCGAGCAATTTAAATCTTGAATTATAATTAAAAGCAACTGAAAGAGCCACTTGTTTCATTGATCCCGCGGATCTACTTTCGCTTGCGTTAAGGGAGGTCGATACATTTCTTCTTATATTTTTATTCCACAAGAGGTATCTTTACGAAAAATCTTGAAGAAACACGGGTCGAAGGAAAAACAAAAACGTATCTTCCTAAGAGCTGTGCAGTTTGAAATTTAAAGTTTCGATATCGTTCAAGTCGGGCCAGAAAATTTTACGACGTCGATAAAATTGCTGATCGGTTAAATTACGTTTCCGAACTCGTCGAAACTTTTAATACACACCAGATGAACGTCATATAATGCACGCCTTTTCTCTGCAAGCAGGTCGATCTATAAGCTATTTATCTCCTCTCTCATCCACTCGAACCGGCTTGGTTACTCCATATTTTTTGTTTCCCGCTTCCTTTTAGTCCAGAGAGAATTTATTCGAACTCGCGAGAATACGGTCGGTCGAGCCGATAGAACGAAGCGTAGTAAAAAAAAAAGTTTCTCCCTTCGGTATCGAAGCTTACGGGACGCCACTGATAACGCGTCCCTCGACCAAACTATTTATCTGGAATACGAAAGTTTCACGAGAACTACCCCTGGCAACAAATTCGATCACGGCACGACGAGTTAGCAAAGCTTTTGAAAACGAATCACGGAGCGTTAATCGACGACACGACGCCAGATTCTTCGATACTCGTTGAAATCGAGAGTCGACGCGTAAATTCTCTCTTTTTTTTTTCAAATTTGTACTCGAGCGCGCTTTTACGCGAGCACGATTCCCGGCGTTATTGTAATCAAATATTGACGCATGATGTGCGAACCAGGCGAGCAATTAATTAATAATCGCACCAGTCGGCAAATAGAAACGTCTGCGCTCGAAATTGCTACTCTTGTTACTCGTCGATTTATCTGAATACTGTTTAAACCGGGTACATACGAATTGTTTGGTTTAAAGAAGCGCGTTAATGGGATCGAACGCTGTTTGGATCGTTAATTGCTGGAATAATAGCTCGTATAAGGTTCGTTCTGTTCGTGTCGCGTAAATATTTGACTACCATTAATGATGAATGAAAGTTTTACAGGAAATTGAAGAATCAGAAATATCATAGCTGGTGTCGAATCCTCTATTTATACCATAGTACGATAATTGATTTTAAAGGGGAAATACCACCGCCATGAAGACCTCAAAATGATTTTCTCAAAAACTATCAAAAATACACAACTTACTTTTCCCTTAGCGTCTGTCTATTTGACTTTTGCAGCTTTTTTATCTGTTAATCGTATCAAACAGAAGGAACGCCGCGCGACGAGATTCAGAAACGATAAACGGATGAAACGCGAAGAACAAACCCAGCGGAGCGGTAAGATAATCAGTCCAGGGTGAAAGATCAAATCCGACGAGTCGAGCTGTTCCTGCGAGTTGGTATTCTTGGCTGGCGTGGTTGCTTTATATGCGCGAAACTAGTCCGCTTATGGATGCAAATGCGTTTCCAACCTCGAACCGGGCGCGGACAACGAAATGCTCTCGTCGGCTTTCCAACATATTTTGCTTCACGGAATTGCATTATAATTGTTCCACGAAAATTCACCGTGTAAACAGCATTGATAAAGCGGCTTTTTCCCTCGCGTAAAAATAATGCACGGCCGGGTATAACCGGCGCGTTGTGTGTCATCCCTCGTCCCGCTTAAAAACGACGCACGTTCCTGTTCCACTGTATGCGCTCTCTTTTTTTTTTTTTTTTTTTTTAACACGACCTGTGAAACCGTGATTTATTTTCGGTAAAAAGCGAGCCGACACGAAACGAAAACCATGCTCGCATCGGAAAAACGTAAGAGCTGATATTTTGCAAAATACGTTTAACACGTTGATCGCCAAAAATAAATACATCATTCGCAATATAAGGGTTAATCTGAAAAATCCGAAATGTCTACTGTGGCGTACGTGCGAGTGAGGGTGGCCCTAGAGTCTACCACCCTCACTCGCACACACCACGGCCGAAAATTTTTCGGCCTGGGGGCCCAGAATTTTGCGAGCCATCGAAAGGGTAACAAGTCGAGAGTTTGAGAGGGCATTATTGCGAGTTGCGTTGCGAGCGTCCACATCGAGTTGCCGAAATTTTCTATTTATACTATTTCGTTTCAATAAATCATATACCAAACTATAAGGCAATGCTTATTTTCAACACTACCTTTCCTCGCGTTTTCCCGACCTCTACTCGAGAGAACAATATCCGTGGCTATTAGCGTGAATTTTTTGCTAGATAGCGGAAAATTCACGTACACGCGGTAGGCGTGACCAGAGCGGAGAGGCAGAGATCGGTTCAGCTCCTTAACGAGCCACCTTTTGTCCAGCAGGGCGAATGGTTCGACCGACGAATGGAAGGGTCAGAGGGGAACGAAGAGAAGAACGAGCGTCGTTTGTCACGTGGACCGTACGATCCACGTACGACGATTTACTTCGACCGTCCTGGGAACGGTTCATTACCGAGCAAATAGTCCGGCGTGCCGCGATATTGATCTTATTTTCCGCTTTCCACCTGGACGGTTATTTATTTTTGCGTTCGACGCCGTTCGCTCTATTATTGGGTCGTTGACAGGTGTCCTGGGCTAAGGTTTATGACATCGTCAAGAATCGATGATCGGTTTAAGTTCGATTTACCGCGTTGACATTTCCAGGGGAATACGGAGATTCTCGTATATCGGGTACATTAAAAGTGAGCGAGGATTCGCCTTCGCTTAGAGATATATTTTTACACTGCTAATCAGATTATCACTGACCGAAGCCTCGTTGTTTTCTCGACGCGAAATAAGTTAAAGATAGAGTAAAGGGAAGACTTTCAACGAGATTGATTTTAAGTGTTTAGTCAAGGCTGTTTCGAAGGCGTTTCAACTTAGTTTCTAGGAACAACGTGAGCTTCGTAAATAGTGTAGGAGAGAGGGAGGTCTTGGATCATTTAATCAAGCCTTTGCTCTATCGGAAACGCGTCAGTTTGTTGAAGCAGCCGACTTGGAGGAACTTCGAAATTCAATCAGCTCGGTTTGTGTGGTTACCATGAATATATCAGTTATGTACTTCAATAATAAAATATAACATTTTAACTGATTAAAATTTGAAAAAATAATTATTTACGTAAAAATGGTGAGGCAGTTAGAAGTTATAAAGTATTCTATAGACCCAATGGTCGACGAGGTTCTTTCAAAAGGGTCGTTCTATTTTTCATCAGTTCAGTGCCCTAATGAACTGCAATAACTTGCGACCGCGGTTCATTAATGGTGCACGCCAACTGCGTTTAAACTACGTTTCGTTAATTCGAGTCCCGGCGAACTAACGTCGATTTCCATGGAACAGAAAATCGCGGAGAAATCATTGGGAAAAATATCGCGGAATTTTCGAGTTCCGACGAGTGGCTCCGTCCAGTCGTAACTCGTAGAATAATGAAAATACTTACGGGCTAACGACGGTCGGAAATGGATTGCTCGCTGATAACTCAGAATCGCCTCCTCGTAATTTTTCCTGCCCTGCTGTAAGATTCCCCTGAAACAGAAAAATTCAAAATCATTAGTGAATTTGCAGAGCTTACAGCAGACTTAGTACAGTAAGTAAAGTATTCGTAGTATTTCAGGCGATCGATGCTGAGAAGGCGTACAACGGAAAGGGTGAACAGGAAAATGGAAAACTTTTGATCTTATCCGTGTTACAAATCTCGCGTTTAAAAATTCGTTTTTCAACACCCGGTAATCTCGAGCCTCTGTCGTTCTCCAAAATCATGAAACACGTCGACGAAACGTTGTCGAGCCGCGATTAAAACTCGTTCAAGTGTTTCTTTTTTCCCCATGGATAACAATCTCTCTTTCTCTCTCGTATCCCTGGACGACGAACGATTAATCATCCTTCGAACAATGTCACTCTCAGAAACGATAAAAATATTACTTGTCAACCCGATGACTTATCGTGGAAAAGTCGAGCGGCGTAACGAGCGAACATGGGCCCGGTACAGGTAGTGCCAATAAACGAACTTTATAACGGTTACACGCGGACCCGCGTGCCACGATGGCACATATTTTAGGAGAAAAAATTCATTTTAACGCGCCGGTGATTAATCTTTTCTCGAACGTTGTCGCTCAACGGACGATGAAAATATCACTTGTCACAAGGGTGCGAGCGAGGGTTGAAAAGAGACGAAAACCTGGGATGATTTACCGAGACTGGCTATTTCGCGCTTTTATCGCTAATATTTTGCCCCGAAAAAACGGAAGCGGACGATATCGTTCACTGTTATTCTGCTACGATCGAGGCGTTCCATTATTTTTCTTACTCCTCGTCAAAGACGAAGATAGTCGGATGATTCGTGAACGATCGACCGATTCGCCAATCGAGCATGTCTGCTCGACTTTAGAGAGTAAGGGGTGAGAGAGAGAAGGTCGGGAACACGGGGGTAGAGAATCAGGGGTGCGTGTCCTGTGGTCGATCGATAATTCATGGTTTCATAACCGTCAATCGTCCACGGTTAATGTTTCCGTGTATGGAATGTTTCGGTAAGGTTCCTTTGATCGTTCACCAGGAACGAGCTGCAGTAACTTTTGCAAAAATATTGCAATAAAAACGTAGAAATTTGATTTCCATCGCGAAATATTTTGAAAAAGCGTTAACGACCCTTAAAGAGACAGAAATCACGGAGGTACAGTTTCGCTAACAATTGTAATTACTCTGAAAGTACGTCGAGGATCGCGATCGCAAAGTACGTGCCTCGTTCGCGTGGAATTTCATTATTTTAACCGGATAGAAAAATCCGATTCGCATCGTTTTAACTTGTTCCGGCCGCCGTAAAAAAGTTATACTAATGACACGCTTTGTGAGCGTTCGAGCGACTGAAACGAAAAAAAAAAAAGAGCTACCTTGCGGTCCGGAAGCGACAGAGTAGAAGAAGACAGATAGGAATAAGGATACTTCCTTTTCGACCAAGCATTCCAGCTTGCTTCAGAGGAGTTTTCCTGTTCGTTAACGAGACGCCACTCTGCGTTCGTTAATTTTCAAGATGAATATTCGCGCGATATATAATGGACTGTTTTTCCTTTCTCACTTTCGCTATCTATTACGATCGTCCACGGTTTCCCTAAATTCAAGAAAGGTTAATATCTGTCGGTCGTTTTTCCTTGAAATTCTAGTTTGAAAAAAGACTCGTACAAGTTGCTGCTGCCGACGCAACAAAAGACTTGTCTAGAACTCGAACGAACGCGAGTCCGGCAATTTCTGTCGCAGATAGAATCGCGTATTGTTCCCGGTGTACTCGTATTCGCGAAAGCTGTTTCGATTCGTAGGGGGGTTTCGAATCGCGCTTATTTCGAGTGGCTTTACGTTCGCGGGATGGACGGCCGCGCGCGTCGGGTTGCGGATAAACGGTGGACGGATCGATCGTTAAAATAAATACATTGTCGAAACGCATTGTTCGAGCCCTTCGCTCTATTATTTGCCGCGCCGTTCGCGCCGCGTAACGAGCCATGTAACGACATTTCGCAACAAGCATTCGCGGCTTTGTGCGATCTCGAGCCTCGATGACAAAGCGAGCTTCGAATATTCCTGGCGGCGCACCGCGTCGCTCGTCGAGAATTTTATTCCATGGCTGAGAGATGCGTTGGCGCAACAAAAGCTGAAGCATCCTGAAAAACGATACGAAAATGGAGGAAAAAACGAAAGCAAAAGGGCGAGTGATATTTCGTCGAGAGAGAAACGAAATATCCGTCTGTTTAGGTGTTGGATGAATAAAATAACGGAGGGTATAAAGTAATTTGTTGCTCTTACCATCGTTCTCTTTAACCTTAATACCCTTCTAGATCCTTTACTGTAAATCAACCGCTTAAATAACAAATTTCTCAATCCTGCGTTCCTTTTGAAGGGCGCTTTTTCAAAATAGAAAAGTTATTATTATCGATCGCCTATCGCGACAACAATACTCTTAGCTAGATGTTTGCTTCCTTTCGACGGATCGAACTTTGCGTTTCAAAAGTAAAGGTAATCGCATTAGCGGCTGTCGGGCCGAAAGAATCACCCTCGATAGTAATAAATTGCAAGAGAACCAAGCCGTCACGTTACGACGTACGAGACAAACACGTGGCTGTCTTTTTCGCTTTCCCTACGATCTACGACTCTTGGCGAATTGGAAACAACAGCCATCGCCTTAATGGTCTGCCAAGTTCCACATGGAATACAGTTACGTTGAATTTATTTACGAGAACAAACGTTAACATCGTTTCCAAAGAACGATCGGTTATCGTTAAATGTTTCCTTAGACTATAAGAGAGCGTTTGAAACTTTGACCTAGCGTTACGAGGAAGATCGTTGTTTTGTCGACAACAGGCACGGTACCGGAATATTTTCATCCACGATGATACGCTCGACCAGCGTTTCCTATAAGCGCGTCACACGTATCGTCGCCCCCGTTATTTAGCCCCAGCACGCAACTCCACGCTTGCCATGGTATTTTCAGTTTCGAAGCCACGCTGATATTTCGTCGCTCGATGTTTGCCCGACACGATATCGACTCCAGCAACCTTCCTCGTGGCTCGTTTATCGGTCGAACCGTTATGCTATATAGTTAGAGAAAATTCGAGCAACTGACACGTGGAGTATTTCTATTGACGTCAGGAATTTAAAACAAAATGGGTACTTGGAAACTTTTGCCTACGTTATCTTTCCCAATCGATAAAAAAAAAATTTAATATTTTGTTAAATTCCCCTCATAAAATGAAACAACTTTCATATAAAACATTTTTCGATATTCTCAATAATTAGAGAGATAATTGGGCGCGTACGCTTAAGTCTGACATATTACAGGTACTTCTACTGCGCCAGTAGTATCGATCAGCGATCACCGCGCGTTACACGGCCGGCGCGGCGATTAACGAAGCGGGCTCATGGATTTCAGAGAGTTGTTAGTCGTTAATGACAGGAATTACGGTACGAGTAAAAATCCCAATAAAGAGAGCCGAGTTTATCGCGGTAACGAGTCTGACTAGCGACGCGCGATACTACTGGGGATCTCGTACGCCGAATGGCAGCCGATAACTCGTACGTTCGCGACGCATTGTTCGCCCCACGAATATTTGATGTATCTGTAATTATCGCTGGCGAATATTGCACGGAGTGTCCGATAATGGTAGTCCCAGAGTAACAGGTGCACGGTAATAAGCTCCGGTGCTACTGAAATTACTCGACGTTCGATATTCGTTGAACGGATCGAGCGTCGAATACTTTTCCGCGTTGAAACCGCGTAAAATGGAGCCGGCTACGAAAATGTCGATTCCATCGAACTCCCTTGAGGGTGAAAATCGAATACGTTTTTACACGGTTCGTCCGTTCAAGCCAAAGGATGCCATTAATTTTTTAAATTGCTAAGTCAGCTCGAAATCTGTGTTAGATCGAAAAGCGTAACCCCGACGTTGTATCCGGTTTTATTTTTAAACGAAGGTGTCCTTCGGGGTGACACATTTGTGCCAGCGATTCTGGGTCAAGATCGCTTCGAGTGCTCGCACGTAGTTCCATTTACGGTGACATTACCCATAATTTCTACCGGGAAACCGACATCGATTTCCATTAAGGAGACTCCATGTAACCTTCAACCTTTCGGAAAGGTACAATGGAGCAAGGCAGACCTGAATAGCACGGCTGTAAGAATAGATTCGCGGCATGGAAAAGGATTCGAGTATACTTAAATATTTTACTTTGCTTTTCATCCTTTCAAAGGATTAACAAAGTGTTAACGCAATCAAAGCCGGTGTCTACAAGAAAATCGACTGTCCTAATGTAATCCGATCGGCACAGCGTTGTGCAGCGAAATCAATTTCAGCGTGTCTCGATCGGCTGGCCATTGAGAGGAGGATGGCGCCGCGTTGATGACCGTCATCGCCATTGTCGTTGCCGACGCTGTCGGCGTCAGCTTCGACATCAGCTGTCAGCATTGCTTCATCGAGCGGGATGCTATTGTCGTCGACGTTCTTCTCGACGTCGTTGCGGTCGTATCGACGTACGTTCCGGCCGACAACATACGAGCACGAAAACGACCGTCGAGTCCGAAAGATTCACCGACCAGTTTCAACTGTACGGCCGGTCCTTTTCGTCCTTTCCGCTCGTTACGCCGCTCGTATTATCCTGCAAGATTGACGGTTCGAGAGAGGACCGGCTCCGTTCGACGAGGTCCGATAATTGGATCTTTCCAACGGCGTTACGCCGTTTCCGAAACGTAACGAGCTACGATTTACGACCCCGGGGTGTTTTAACGATCCTCCCCTACCCTTTTAGAGAAGAACCCTCGATGGTTCAAGATGTTGCAATCGAAATCGTTGGGGTTCGTATCCCGACATCTTACCACGTTTCACAAGTACCTATAAAATTATCACCCTATCTACCGGGGAATTTAATTAATTACCTTTGTTTGGAAAAATCAACAGTATGGATCCGACGTCGTTCCGTTCGCTAATTGATAGCTCGAGGACCTATAACAGGGAATCCCGATCGATCTTAATGAAACTAATACCGAC